CGCGAGGAACTGCGCAAGCGTCGGCCATGATGAATATTGCCGACGATGGAGCGACTCCTCTAACAAAATGTTCACCTGTGCAGTAGTATCGTTTTTGAAGCGGGAAGCTCAAAATAACGCAAATTTCTTACGCAGATTGTGAATTTATGAGTGCATTTCAGACTTTGCCGATGCGCTCATCGTGATTTTTGAGGCATTATCTATAGGAAACAACTCTTCATTCTGCTCTAGCAAAAGTTTGCAACAGGCCCATTGCCTTCTTTTCACGAAATCCCTTGTAAATTATCAAATACTTGCGAGGATCTCCGGCCGCCAAGTCTACCAACGCCAACATCATGCTTCTCAGAAGATCACCACCGATGAGGCGGACAGTGTGCGGGGCACAAAGTCCTCTCTTTTGCACGAGGAAAGTGAAATCTTCGTGTTGTTCAAAATGCTCCTCAAGCAGAAGGAGTGGAAGCAAAGGGAATATTTGGAGCTGCAGGAGAAGATGCGGTAGCATAATAAGTAGCATGCAAAGGACAGACCATGTAGAAGGGATAGAGGAAACAAGGAAGGCAGGACAAGAAGAAGAAAGAAGAGAATCCAAGAAGAGAATCCAGCAGAAGAAAGTGAATTGCAAGAAACAGCTCAAGCAAGAGTGAAGAAAAAGTTCTTCCTATTAGGTACGAGAACAGTCAGGAGATCAGGATCTAGTGCAGTAACAACGACAGCAGCAGTAGCAAAGGAAGAAGTAATATCAGGCAGCAGCAGTTGAAGAAGACTCCTTAGGGAACAGTAGCAGAAATAGCAGCAGGAGAATCAGAAGCAGCAGCAGCAAAAGAGGCAACAGGAGTAGCAGCACAGCAGCAGTAGCAGTAGCACTATCAGCAGCAGCATCAGTAGCAGCAGCATTAGCATCAGTAGTGGCAGACTCAAGTCAAGAAGCTCGCCTATCAAGAATTCAAGATATTCCTTCAATTAGACTCTATTTTACAATAAGGAACTACAATTTCTGGTTCATACATACATACGCCCATCTGCGTAGGGCAACTAATGGCACGTAAGTTGTTTTTAAAATGAGCCGGAAATTGTAGTTTTCAGTTTCAAAATGTATTCCAATCATCGTTGTACCTAATCATTAATTTATTTTCATGGCTTTTTTTCTCTACTGTTTTCGTTTCATGATATAACATGTAAACACCTTATTTGGGCAGAATTTAAATCAGTTAAGCACGTGTGCCTAGTTATGATTCATTTCCTGGTGAATCTGTAATTTTTTAAAATACCTAGTATCAAGTGAACTTTTCGCGGCTAATTTTTTAGTGCAAAGTGCGGTTCCTGTGATAATGTTGTGAGTGCTTTCAGCTTGGCGTCGGGCGATTGGATACCCCTCTTTAGGTACGTACCGAATAGTTTTTCAATTATTCTCTTTCAATTCAATGCACGTTTTGTCCCTCTGCAGCTGACAGTCGCCGGACCCTTTTTCTTAAAATCTTTCTCAAATTGATATACTCGAAAAAAAAACACGTTAGATCTAGAGTCCAGACTCTTAAAAACATCGACAAGAAATAGTACTCTTGATTCAATCAGAATCAAGGTTAAATCAAGAACCAGGCCTCTTAAGCTAAAATCCGATTGAATCAAGAGTATTTTTTCTTGTCAATGTTTCCAAGAGTCTGGACTCTATCCGAACTCCCGTGTAGGCTTGTGGTATCACGCGAAATTGAAGGAAAATCATAGCTTTTCACTAAAGTCAAAAAACGGACGCTTGTGAATACTCAACCAAAATCTCTTCATAAATCGCGTTGATGTTGCCGCCCTGTCAAGCTAAGCGGCACATAATTGGTTCTTATTTAAAATAAGTAGATTTTCCCCGAGCTATTGGCGTAACTATCGCGTAAACTCATAATTTTTAGATAAAATTGTCGACATAATCGCTTGGATGCCGCGATACCGAGATTAGGAGACCATCATTTCTTCGGAATCAAGGTAGTCGATGAAGAAATGGCGTCCTCTTCTCGATATTGAAATGAATTTACCGTAACTTCCCACTTTTTAGGAAGTGGAACCCAAGTGAGCAACTATTCGAACTCAGGTGTGGGCTTGTGGTCTCACGCGAAATTGAAGGAAAATAATTGCTTTTCACCAATGTCAACAACCGGACGTTTATGAATACATGAGTAATACCGGTATATGTAAGCATGTTGCTGCCAGCCGGATTGTAGGCGCGCGACACTCCAGCAATTACTCGGGTCCCGTCCCGTGCGATCTCCCTGGCTGGCGCGCCGCTAAAATCGCCGCAAAGGGAGGACTGCACGTCATTATCCTTGACTCTCTGTCTTGTTTTTACCACAATTTGAGTGAAAGTGTATCCCTGAAATGTAACGATTCAGAATCTCGGATTGGGTTTATAAAATTCATTTTTTAAAATGAGGTATGAAACGAGCGAAAATATTGCGTCAAAATTTCCGGTGACTGAAAAAAATCCGCGGATATTGTTTAAAAAAACTGTATTCGCCATTCGTAACAAGAATGATTAAAAATAAGCCATTAGTTGAGGTCTGCAACGTTGCAGTCGGAGCCAAATACGCTTCCTTACGCGTAAAGGAAAGGATATTTGAACTCATTCACGGCAGGCGCAGTGATACAACTATTCGACCACGGGTGTAAGCATGTTGCTGCCAGCCGGATTGAAGGCGCGCCACACTCAAGCAAATACTCGGGTCCCGTCCCGTGCGATCTCCCTGGCTGGCGCGCCGCTAAAATCGCCGCAAAGGGAGGACTGCACGTCGTTATCCTTGACTCTCTGTCCCGTTTTAACCACAATTTGAGTGAAAGTGTATCCCTGAAATGTAACGATTCAGAATCTCGGATTGGGTAATTAAAATGCATTTTTTTAAAATGAGTTATGAATCTACAGAAAATATTGCATTAAAATTCACGGCGACTGAAAAAAATGCGCGGAAATTCTTTAGAAAACTGTATTTGCCTTTCGTAACAAGAATGATTAAAAACAAGACATTAGTTCAGGTCTGCATCGTTGCAGTCGGAGCCAAGTACGCTTCCTTACGCGTAAAGGAAAAGATATTTGAACACATTCACGGCAGGCGCAGTGCTACAACTATTCGACCACGGGTGTAAGCTTGTTACTGCCAGCCGAATTGAAGGCGCGCCACACTCAAGCAATTACTCGGGTCCCGTCCCGTGCGATCTCCCTGGCTGGCGCGCCGCTAAAATCTCCGCAAAGGGAGGACTGCACGTCATTATCCTCTCTCTGTCCCGCTTTTACCACAATTTAAGTGAAAGTGTATCCCTGAAATGTAACGATTCAGAATCTCAGATTGGGTAATTAAAATGCATTTTTTAAAAATGAGTTATGAAACTACGGAAAATATTGCGCCAAATTTCCGGCGAATGAAGAAAATCCGCGGAAATTCTTTAGAAAAACTGTATTTGCCTTTCGTAACAAGAATGATTAAAAACAAGACATTAGTTCAGGTCTGCAACGTTGCCGTCGGAGCCAAATACGCTTCCTTACGCGTGTAGAAAAGGATATTTGAACTCATTCACGGCAGGCGCAGTGATACAACTATTCGACCACGGGTGTAAGCATGTTCCTGCCAGGCGGATTGAAGGCGCTCCACACTCCAGCAATTACTCGGTTCCCGTCCCGTGCGATCTCCCTGGCTGGCGCGCCGCTAAAATCGCCGCAAAGGGAGGACTGCACGTCATTATCCTCTCTCTGTCCCGCCTTTACCACAATTTGAGTGAAAGTGTATCTCTGAAATGTAACGATTCAGAATCTCGGATTGGGTTTTTAAAATTCATATTTTTAATATGAGGTATGAAACGAGCGAAAATATTGCATTAAAATTCACGGCGACTGAAAAAAATGCGCGGAAATTCATTAGAAAACTGTATTTGCCTTTCGTAACAAGAATGATTAAAAACAAGACATTAGTTCAGGTCTGCAACGTTGCAGTCGGAGCCAAGTACGCTTCCTTACGCGTAAAGGAAAGGATATTTGAACACATTCACGGCAGGCGCAGTGATACAACTATTCGACCACGGGTGTAAGCATGTTGCTGCCAGCCGGATTGAAGGCTCGCCACACTCCAGCAATTACTCGGGTCCCGTCCCGTGAGATCTCCCTGGCTGGCGCGCCGCTAAAATCGCCGCAAAGGGAGGACTGCGCGTCATTATCCTCTCTCTCTGTCCCGTTTTTACCACAATTTGAGTGAAAGTGTATCCCTGAAATGTAACGATTCAGAATCTCGGATTGGGTAATTAAAATGCATTTTTTTAAAATGAGTTATGAAATTATGGAAAATATTGCGTCAAAATATCCGGCGACTGAAGAAAATCCGCGGAAATTCTTTAGAAAAACTGTATTTGCCTTTCGTAACAAGAATGATTAAAAACAAGACATTAGTTGAGGTCTGCAACGTTGCAGTCGGAGCCAAATACGCTTCCTTACGCGTGTGGAAAAGGATATTTGAACACATTCACGGCAGGCGCAGTGATACAACTATTCGACCACGGGTGTAAGCATGTTGCTGCCAGCCGGATTGAAGGCGCGCCACACTCAAGCAATTACTCGGGTCCCGTCCCGTGCGATCTCCCTGGCTGGCGCGCCGCTAATATCGCCGCAAAGGGAGGACTGCACGTCGTTATCCTTGACTCTCTGTTTCGTTTTAACCACTATTTGAGTGAAAGTATATCCCGGAATTGTAACGATCAGAATCTAGGATTGGGTTTATAAAATTCATTTTCTTAAAATGAGTTATGGAATTATGGAAAGTATTGCGTCAAAATATCCGGGGATTGAAGAAAATCCGCGGAAATGGTTTAGTAAAACTGTATTTGCCTTTGGTAACAAATAGTCGTGAGGTCCATCGTCAAACAACATACGTCGGAATCGCAGAAGTTTTGATCCCATTGAAATCAGTCCCAGTCGAAGGGGTGTACGCTTCCATATCATGAAAAACCAGCCAATCGCCCACCTCCAACTCCGGAAGTCAGTAGTCTCTGAGAACAGTATCCCTAGCATCACACGTTGGGCCGAAAACCGTGGAGCCGAATGTTTCAGCCCCCCTGAAAGTGGAACACTTGCCGCCATCAGCGGTCAGAGGAGTACAAGCCACATCGTCGTGGTCGTATTTCCAGAAGTTCATCGAACCGTACATGCCATCATTTATCCAGTACTCCCTCACGCCACCGCCAACCCTTTTCCCCGTAACGTTCGTCACCAGCGTGTAAGGCATGCTGGCGAGATAGCGACCCGGTTCCGCGACAATTTTTACCTCGTCAACGAAGCAGTGCTCGTCCAAAGCATCCCTAACGGTCGAGGCAGCCTCGACAAATCGTGGCCCGGGTGAAAACCCACCCCCGATATCCAGAACCCGCGAATCGGGAAGACCGAGTTGCGAAGCGGCTCGGAATACGGATTCGGCCGCTGAGATAGCCTCCTCGAAAGCATGCAAATTAGCGGCTCTGCCACCGATGTGGAACGACACCTCGACGATCTTCAACCCCATGGAGCGGGCAGTTCGCAAGAGGGGTGCTATCTCCTCCGGTAGCGCGCCGAACTTGGTCCCGAGTTTGAAAGTCGCACATAAGTGTCATAAAATTTCTCGAGGGATGCCCCTCGGACCCCCCCCCCCTCCGTGCTTGGGGCCCGGACCTTAAAACTGGTACCAGGGCCCGAGATGGGATGTACGAGCCTGCATGAAGGCTATTTTCATTTAAATCTTCCGTAACATCCTTACGGCGCAATGATACAACTATTTGAACTCTCCGGAATGCGTGAGGTATCACGCTGCATTTGAAGGCGTTTTCAAAACAGCCAAGTTTCGATACCCGGATTATCGTTTTGCATAGTTCATATCATTTTGTTTCCATTTATAACCATTGTTTAATTATAATCCTCCTATAAAAACCACCAATTTGCTAAATACAATTCTAGCTGGAGCGCACTTCAGCTATGCATTCACTACTGCAAAAATGTCAAAGGAAATCGACATGCCCAACGTGCATGGAGGCTATTTCCATTTAAATCTTCCGCCACATTCTTACGGCGCAATGATACAACTATTTGAACTCTCCGGAATGCGTGAGGTATCACGCTGCATTTGAAGGCGTTTTCAAAACAGCCAAGTTCTGTTATCGGAGTAATCGTTTTGCATATTTCATATCATTTTGTTTCCATTTATAACCACTGTTTAATTATAATCCTCCCATAAAAACCACCCATTTGCTAAATACAATTCTAGCTGGAGCGCACTTCAGCCATGCATTCACCACTGCAAAAATGTCAAAGGAAATCGACACGCCCAGCGTGCATGAAGGCAGGCCCGGCACAAGGCGGGGATACTGGGACCCTGGTACCGTGTTACCCGTGAAAAACCACTACGAATTCACATGCAACCCTTGTTTCCTAAGAAAAAGTGAAAAATTTACCCTAAAAATTTCGCAAAAGGTGCATAGATTTTCAGAAACACGCTGGGGCACTGTAGAATTCTTCTTAAATTTTCAAAGATTTATACTTCTTGGAAAATTTCTATCTATTTTCAAGATTTTCAGTACAGAGGGATATTTTTAGTAACTGCGTTTCATTTTCTTCCGTCGTCAGATGCTAAGAGTCTCTAGAGTACCTGTATAGGGAGAGTAGCGACAGATCTGAAACTCCAAAAGTCCATCAGGCCTTCACCGATGCCTCCGCGAATAAAGTTAGGGCCCAAAAGGGCAGCCAACCTATGAATTTCGAATGTCCAGAGCGATTTACAAATACAATTGTTACGAACCGTCATTTAGAAAGCATGTATTTGGTTTACTTTTTGCATAAATTTACTTATTTTTGCGAAAGAACGCTCATTTATGTACATTCTTAGCCATCTTGGTTAGAATTGAAATCTGTAGGCTGGCAGTGAAATTTTGTGTGTTAGAAGTTGCTCAGAAGGGTGGCTGCACTTTTGGGCCCTAAGCCCTCCATGAACCGATCTGTCGCTACTCTCCCTATACAGGTACTCTAAGAGTCTCCAGTCTGAGCATCCTCGACTTCAATGGCTCATGGCTCAACTCCCTTGCCAGAGACAAACGAAGGGGGAGTCCAGGGGGGCCTGGCCCTCATAGAACTGAAAATAGTATCATATGCCCCCCCCCCCAAAAAAATAAAAATTTTCCAGATGTTTTGAATGCAACAATTCGCAAGTAATTTGTGCTGAAAATATAAAACTAGGGGAGCGAGAAAGTAAAAAACATAATTATTCCAAAGAAATTGATGGAAAAATTATTCATGGAAGCTTCAAAATGCGTCCGATTAGTCGTATAAATTCTAAAATTTCTCGGGGGATGCCCTTCGGACCCCTCCTCCCCCCTCCGTGCTTGGGGCCTGGACCTTAAAACTGGTACCAGGGCCCAAGATGGGTTGTGGCGGACCTGCGTGCAAATATACTTGAATGAAGCATTAAAAAATTATTTTTCGTCATATTTCGGTAAAATTACGGCAGATTTTAAAGTGTTCGCATCGGTCTACCCACACAAAATGAACAGAGAAAAACTTGCAACGTCGCAAATTGAAGAATCGATCCCGTTAAAAAATCAACGTGCCAGAACCGATTCAATCCTTTCAAAATTCAAAGTACCTTTTTAAGGAAAGATAATTTCGTACCTTTCCGAGAGAACTTCCCTCCTCTTAAGCGCCTTAATTTTCGTCTGATACCGTGCAATACTTCCGTGAAAGAATAGTTGCTCAGAGCGCCTTCAAAAGTGGCGCTTCGACTTAACGGCAGGAGATCACGAGTGCCACTGATATTAATTTTCTAGCACCTTCGCCGTTACAAATTTTCTTATCACGGAAGGTGAGGTAAAAAAAGCAGCTCTCAATTCTCGACGTTGTAAGTTTTTTAGTGCCTATTTTGTTTAAATATATATGGGGTAATAAAATAATAGTAAACTACAATTTTAAGTGAACTATCTGGCTTACTATGAATTATTTTCGTCTTTTTTTCTTCCATATACTGTTCTCTGAATTTCATGTTTCACAGCAAGCTGTGTTCGGAATCAATAAATTTTGTATGCAAATTCGTTCAAGGATCCATATCGCTAGCCAAGGGCGGAACCATTAATCTTAATTGTTGTGTTTCGAAATTTCCGCTCCTATTTTATTTTTTAAAAACATACTTTACATCTGGAAAGTCCTAAAGAATATTCTGCCAACTGAGAAGAAAAATCAAAGCAGTTTCCGAAAAATTGCGCTGACTTGTTTTCCAAGGAAGCAACAATGTATAGCAGGAAGTCTGCAAAGTAGCAAATGGATTTACGAGGTTTCGCACTTTAGCCATCAGCATGTCACATTTCACGAGCATACATGCATAATTTTAATTTAAATAAGCATGATGTGGTGGGGGAGGGGGGGGAGGGTTTACGCCAGAACGGATCATCTGCTTGAGATTGCAAACATTTTATTGAGTGCTGAAACTTCTCCGACAAAAAACTTCATGAATGGAAATCAAGATAGATGGTCAAGAAAAAGTATTATTGCAGTTGATAAGTCCGTCAGTTTAAAAATGCCGCCTTCTGTGGAGTGCACCCTGTTGGCTCCCTTTGGAACTTCAATTGGACGTAAATTCATTCAACACTCGCTAGGTAGCGCTGACTCTGTTTGGTGATAAGAAAGTTAAAAGTAAACAGTAACGCGTGGTTCTCGATTTCCGATTTCGCAGGTTTCTCATTTTCATTTTCTGCCACTAAGTTGCGTTGACTTTGAATTTCTCTAATCATCACGTTCACGAAGAAACTGTGTCTTGTTTTCCTTGCTCAATCAGTCGCGTCCGTAAATTAAATTGCCTCTGAAACAAATATTTTTGATTGTGGCTGGTCTTATCGAAGTTATCAACTGTTACGGCACACATGATAAAACTCCATGTGGGGTAGAGGTTAGAGTTTATCTAATCCAAGGATTATTCCTAGTGTTTCTTCACTCAGAAGGTTCGTTTTATCGTGTTTTTAGCATGTTATTTTAAATTTCGCTAAATTTTTGCTGTGATTTTTAGTTTTCAAAACTTCAAAAATGGTTTCTTCAGTTGTTTCTCGGTTTTCAAAAGTGATATTATCCCGACGACTAAGTCTCACCGTTCCTAGTCAAATAATTGAATCAAGAAATTTGAGGTTCTCAACAACTGCCTCAAATTTAAGTAAGACTTTTTATCTCGACCACGATTGAGGCTGCATAATCCACCACATTCTGTTTTTCAGCCTCATTTTTTTTGTTCAAGTACGAAATTTTCAAGTACACAGGTTTACTTAGTCGCAATTATACACAGATTTTTGAGTTACAGCAATTGGATAACACCCAGCTCTGGTGGAAAATGATTTTTCAAAACTCACTGTAGCTATTTACACCGAATAGATGTGCCATTAATTTAACTAAACCAGGTTACTACAAACAGTTACGTTGAGACACATTAGTTCATTTTAGAGAGACAGTAATTTTTTCATCATACATCACAGAATATACTTTCTCTTTTTCCTCAGAGGATCAGGTTCTTTCAGCACATCACAGTTAATATTCATTTAGTCTAATATGTTTTGTAAACTAATATTGCATGTGTCTCTTTCTCTCATTTTAAATTATTGGTTAATTGTTTCAGAGAGGTTGTTCACCGAGAAACATGAATGGGTTTTAGTAGAAAACAACATTGGAACTGTAGGAGTCTCTCAGCATGCTCAGGTAATTTTTCTCTGCCAGTGTTTCAAGTGTTTCATCACTGACTCTGACTGTGGACAATGAATACGATGTATCACACTGATCTGGTGAAAAATACTTCTGAATTTTAACTGTTAAGCCATTAAATCAATGATAGCCCCTCTACATAAATTTACAAAATCATTCGCAAAGGAAAAAAAATTACTTAATTCGGCGTAAATGAAAACAAGATTTGGCTTTCCAAAAAGCAGGGATGGGAATGCTGGATGACATGAGTCCTAACTTGCACAGAGCATGAGAAAGGTCATGAGCTCGTGAAGAAGCTTTTTGATGGCAAGTGTTCCTCCCCTTCAATTTTTAGAGGGAGAAATAATCAGAAAAATGTGCTGAATATTAAAAAAGAATTGCTGAAAGTGGCTTGCTGATTTTTTTGCGGCTTGAAAATTTTTTCCAAGTGTAGAGAAACTTTCAGGCTAAAATTATGATGATTTCCGCATGCCAAGCAAATTTATCCAAGGTTTTAATTCTTCCATTTTTTGTACCCATTATGAAGTGCTCTCTCTATGTTTCAAAACGCTTGATGATTTTGCTAGGTTTAAAATCCTTTTAGTTTAACCCCTCACGAGTGAAACTTTAAAATCTATTTAATTTAGTTACTTATCTAGTAGAAAATTGTGGTTCCCCCAGCCATGTTGGCATCCCTGCAGCTTGAAACATAAGATTGAATCCATTAAGTACCTACAAAAATAGAAAAAAATTGACATTGCCATTTGATACCTCTGAAATAATCATTTTCATGACACAAAGTGTACTTACTTTTAAAAAAGACACCACCTAAGTTGAAAGTCATTATATTGAATAACTTCCTATTGTTTCATTTTTTTCTCCCTCTTTCAGGAGTCGTTAGGAGACGTAGTGTATGTCCAGTTACCAAATGTTGGAGATATAGTGAAACAGGAAGGTGAGAACAAATTTTACTATTTTTCAAACTGTTTCCATTTGGCTGTGATGCCCAGTAATTGACCAATTCGAGTCATCAGAGAGTCGTAGTGAAAATTCTGAGCATATTTTTGACAGCTTAGCATTATTCATCCCATCAAATATTATCTTCATTTCTGAAGACATGTTCTTTCATTTTGGGCACTAGTGTTAGAAAAGTCTAAGTTTCGTTGTTCCACTATATTCATTTCAGAGAATGAAATTGTGAAAAAAAGTGCTTACACACTGTTCTGTCCATGCAAAATAGTTGCGATTCTTTTTATCTTGATTCAAATAAGGCTGCTGCCATATCCTAGCATGTCTATTCAATTATCGTCTCTTCATCATAATTAATGCCATATATTTCTTTTACAGAGGAGTGTGGAGCCCTAGAGAGTGTAAAAGCAGCCAGTGAAATTTACAGCCCAGTTTCGGGGAAAGTCACCGAGAAAAATACTGAAGTAGAAGAAACTCCAGCTCTCATCAATCAATCCTGCTATGATAAAGGTTAATCTAGTGTTTCTCTCTCACCTCATGCTTTTTTATGCAGAATATTGAAACAATCTTCAATCGAACAGAATAATTGAGAAGATTCATATGAATGCCCGTACACATGATTGGAAACACGTATCTTGTTCATCAAGTTTCAAAATTTCTGCTCTTATTTTATTTTCTCCAAGTAAAAAACTCTACTTTTTTGCTTGACATTTTCACAAAATATTTTTTTAGCAGGAAAAAGAAATCACAGAATTTTTTAATAGTCAACGTGTATTTCAATTCAAGAACAAAATAAAACAGGAAGTTTCCAACATCCCAAAACAAGATGTGTTTTCTTAATTTGCCCATGTGTTTCCTTTGCTTAGACTTGGGTTAAACAAACACTTAGAAATTGTTCCACATCTTCAACTAAAAATGTTATCAACATTTTATCCTACCTAAGTGTCAGAGCTACGGAACAAAATGGATTTAAACTTGTTATCAGTGGCTGCAAATAATTTTTAGCAGCCTTGTAAATCACTGAAGAAGTGAAAAATATATCCTACATCTACTTTATTAATACTATCAAAGCAATGTAATGGAATGGACTGAATATAGCATGAAGTCTCCTTGATATTATACGTATCTAATGTGTTTTAATTTTTATCTCTTTGTATCGCTAATTTTGCACGAATGAACAATTTTTGTTTTGTTTTTTTGTTCGCAGCTTGGCTGTTTAAATTAGAATTGAGTAATCCAGAAGAACTGTCCAAGTTAATGGAGGAAAATCAGTATGAAGAGTTTTTGAAGAATAATACTGATTCACATTAACGGAAGTCAGCATAATCTCATCAGTTGTTGCAAGGTAAAAACAAAATAGAATTATCTGATTCATTATCTATGAGCGGCTCTTGATCTCTTCTAAGCATCTATCCATTTAAAAGTTTGCTTCCTATTGTGAAATCTCAGAGATTTAGTGGAATTTATTTTCAACTTTAATTCATGAATTTAATGAAGAAAAAAACACTACAAGTCTTGCTATAAATACTTATTTGTAAAAAAAAATGGACCACATTTTACAATCAGGAACTACTTTTTTACCAAAAACAACTGGGTAGATAGGTATTTTATGTGAAAGCTATAAATAGTGATTTCTCATTGCAAAATGCAGTCCTAATATTTCTTCAATAAAAAAATAAAGCTATAAAAGAGGAGTAGTGCTGATATATCCTCTAATCAATTTTGTATGTTCACAATTATAAATTCATGTCAGCCCTTTCCATCAATATACATTCTCATGATTTTAGTAGACAAAAGACATACACAGGCAGCCGAAAACGAAAACAGTAGAACAAAAACAAGGAAACAGTGGAAACAAGGCTAAAATACATACAATTATTTGAGACGTTTCGTTGTCTTATTACACCATTATCAACCGCTTAAACCAGTAAAGTACAAGAAATTAAAAATAAATCGATATCAAAAGAAACTAGCATGGCTTTACTTTGTGATGGTATGAAAGACAGCACTGATACTAAATAACTAACAAGTCACTCTTATAGCGCTTCTGTGCGCGCTACGACACCCAACCGCCACTGATAGTGATCCTGCCAGAGCTCCAAGACAGCACTGATGACAGGAGTAAACAAATGATCCGAAAATACAACAAACCTCAAAAAATGCAAGAAACTGAGCATCGATGAGCATGGCAATACGTCCAAATAATGTCCTGAATTATTTGGACGTATTTTAGTCTTGTTTTTGCTGTTTCCTCGTTTTGTTAACGTCTCGAATAATTGTGTATTTTAACCTTGTTTCTGCTCTCATGATTTTATGCATCTGAATGCATCTCATACGATTTGCCACATTAAGATAGAATAGGAGACAAACTTTTTTCTAAGTGAAATTTGGTGTTGGTCTATTCTATCCTCTTGTCTTTTCTATCTTGTAGCTTTGTCATAGACCAAATCAGTGCACATATCTGTTTTTGTTTTCTCATTAATTTTTATTATTTATGTAGCTAGTGCTTTTGCTATTAAAGCCCTTATTTGTCACAATAGTTACTCTTTAATTTACTATTACTTTCTGACTTGAACAAATACTCGATTTTTTATGTTCTGTATCACGCCTCGTCGAATAACTTAAGTTATTCTAAAGTTTTGTCTTATCAGAAACTAAAAGAGTATTCATCTTTGAGCTCATAGCAATGGCATTTTAGCAGTTCAATTTTAGGAGTGATTCTTAATGGGATCTTTGTTTTTGTCCCTACAGATACACTTGATCCTCCCGGAGGTCATCTAGGGGGAACAGATCATCGACAGGTTTAAAATACTAGACTTTTTAAGATGTTATCTCATAACATTATCACTGCTTTTTAAGGGGTTGAATATAAGTTATAATGCCTTAAAGTTCTATGTTCATAGCATTTTATGATGCATTAAAATTTTTTTTTTGGAATCTCACTAGAACTTCCCTTTTGTCAGAATGACAAATATTTCTACTTTAACACTTTTTTTTTAAAAAAAGAAATTTTTTCGCACTATTCTTTCTATTCGAATAAAATTAATTTATGCATGTGTGTGTCTTCATATTTGAGGAACTTTTACCGGTGTAGAGAACATTAATACCCAAGTAAAGGTAATTTTACAAATTGAGAATTATTTCAAGCTTCTTCCATAAATGCTATGCTCTCGCAATTAAGGATGTTACTGTTCAAAGTCCATATGCAACTACTTACATCAAAGTGAAAAATAATAATTTTTCTTCACTCCATTATACTTGATATGTTATGCAGACTTTAATTAGCCATCAAATTTGCATTGAAAGTCGAAGAATAAATAAAAAATAAAAAAATCCTCAGGTTCTCTCTCTCTGTTTGGTCAAAATAAATCGTTTATCCTTCATTTCATTCCTAATAAAATGACTAATTAAAACGAAATCAAAATGCCTTGATTTGATCACGATTCTCTAAAGTAATCATTGAAAATATTGCATTTTGGAAGCACCGAAAAGCAAACAGCCCTCCCTATTAATAATTTCATCAAACTGATACAGGGTCGCTGTCAAATTTTTTACCGTTAAGTATGTATGTAGACTGCTGATGGTTTTTACCAAAATAAACATTGATGACTTGAACCAGTTGGCTCTTTTTTATCTCGTTTGCTCTAGGATTTTAACCTTTTTGAAAGACTTAATAAGGATTCTTCACTCCTAATGAATTATTTCACAAAATTCTTTATCATCACACCTTTGGACAAATCTTTTTATGTTTTGCTGATCTACTGGCCTGGACTATAAGACCATAAAATAAACATAAAAAACCATAAATTTTGCGACTTACGAAGCCAATCAACCCGCTAAGTCTCATTCCTCATCCTTATCCTCCAATTATTATTCGTCAAAGTGGGCTTCCGGCTTCCGCCAAAAGAGCGAAGCATGCCGATTGATTCGCCTTCCGCTCAACTGTAGGCAACCAATCATACTCCCATTCTCTGTCAAGGAGGCTATGCCTTTAGCGTTGCATGCTAGTCATCTTCAACTCTTCATCAGCACTTATGATGCCACGAAAAGTTTCTCGGATAAATTGCGTTAATAATACGTTACAATATTGCGGCGTTCCAAATGTTCTCTTTCGTTCGTCATTATGATTCGGAATTTCATGGAGAACAAAGGAAATTTCAGGCTAAAACGGTTTAGAAAATGTAAGCGGACCAGTATCACGGTATAGTATAGGCGGGAAGGATTCGAGTTATGAATGATGAGTCTCAAGCTCGAATCAGTGGGAACCATAGGGGGAGGGGGGGCCTTTGAGGAGCCACAAAGTGACAATGGTCTAAGCTTACGTGTCACCGTCCAGAACAGGAAGTAACTGGAACTCTGCCGCGGTGCTAAGGGAGAACATCGTATGGGCCATCGGACTTCACCAAATTCCCCTCGATAAAATACAAATTTTCCGGGAAACTTTTCAATATTTCCCTTCGAATTCTACGGAGAATTTTGTTCACAATTTAGTCGAGCTTCCCTGATATTTTCGAAGAAAAATATCCATATCTTTCCAAATAAATGAATTTTAATCGGGGAAAACTTAGCAACGTTTGTACGTGTACACGACGCACAGCGGATCGAGTCAATAGGAGAGGTCGGATGAACTGCGGAAACTTTAATCGCTTATAATTCCGCGTTTATACAAAACTTTGCGGTTCTAAAAGTGGTTTCATTGGTTTTCTTGTAAAATTTTCTTCTAGGAGCACCCATCAAAATTTAAAATGTGACAAAATAAACATCGACATTTGCAGATTTTGTCAACAATTTCATGTCCGACCTCTCTAATTGACTCGATCCACTGTGCGGCGTTGTGCCCTAGCACAGCAGCATACAGTCGTGTCAAGCAAGAACCGCACAACTCCCGTGGAAACACCGTGTAAATACGCTGTTTTTGAACAATTTACCCAATCTTGGTAATCAGGAGCTCTATCTCGGCGCGCTGTGCCCCGATTTCAATGATCCACAGTGGCGATTTTGTAAGTTGGCAACCGAGGCGGATCCAACAATTTGGCAACACCGGATTTCCTCCATTTAAATATATGCTAAATGATCGATTCTTGTCGGGGCATCTGGCCCCTCCAACAATCGATACATTTCCATAGGTTTAAATTGAGGAAAACATTGTTGCCGATTTGCTGGATCCGCCAATGGTTGGCAACACTGTTTCTCCTCCGTTTAAACCCATAGAAAATATCGATATTAGGTGAGGCAAGCAGCCCACATCAAGAATCGATTGTTTTGCGTACGTTTAACTGGAGGAAAAACAGTGTTGCCAACTCTCCAGAATCGCCACCGACGACCCCGCGAATCTTCGCTCTTCTGCGTTAGGAAGGTCAACCTAACCTAACCTAACCTAACCTAACTTTACTCGGGTCATGTGACCTAACCTAACTTCCTTACCCTCTGGGATTCGAGTGGAAGGAAAAGGTTCGACATGTTCTTGGAAAATATAGGGAAGCCAGAGTAACGTAAGTTATGGTAGGTCATGGAAAAAATGACCTCTTTTACCCATCGATTTTCATAAAAAACGCACTAAGTCGCACCAAGAGTTTGAACCGAGAAAAAGGGGGTTGAAGTGAAGTTGTACTCCTCCGTAGCATTCAACGATAGGAACGATGTTTAAGTATATTTCAGTGGCGTGGCGTGCTTTGCGAAAGATCAAGTAATTATTTGCTATCTAAACCTATGGAATTTGAATTTTTTTCATCTTTTTAAACCAAAATAATCCATGCAGAGTGTCCAAAAATTTCATAATCACGAGTGACAAATGCTGACTCCGCGAGTTCGAAGATTAGAGCCGAGCCCAGTGCGACCAGCACGGAACGCGTGTTAGCGCCTACAAGACTGCAAGAATACTTCATGCATTGCGCGTACACCACGGAGGATACTTCACGCATTGCGCGTACATCACGGTGCAAATGAGCAATGCGAGAAGTATCCATGCAGTCTTGCAGGCGCCATTATGCGTTTCGCGCTGCCAGGACTGTGCTTGGCTCTAACGTTAACAGGGTGTTTGCAACGAACACATTAATAATCTATTCTATACCATAGCTTCAAAAGGGGAAATATCGATGATCTATCATTCACGCCTGGGCACCGCTATTTTTTCACGTTCAAAGTATTTTTTCTCCAATTTGAATTTTTGACTGGTTTACGACTAGGTATTTGACTACAAAGCTAATCTCAACTCATTCTCCAAGTGCAACGCGGTGTTTTTTTGTTATACCTACTCTGTCCATTTAGTCGACGTTGGAAACATCCTCAGTGGGGTGATTTTTTTTTCGATAGATACGGGAAGGAAAGCAAATGACATCGTGTGCAAAAATGACGATAAGGCTCGTTTTAGAAAATTGAAATGTGTCAGGAGCTTGGCAACTCTGCTAACCGAGTTACGTGCTTTTATGATTTTCCTATTGATTTGTATCGATTCGTGGCTGTGAAAGGTGTGAGTGATAACAGTGTTTATGCAGTAGGTATATGAAGGTGTGTGCGTGCTTCTGAAGTTTAAAGTTAAGGTTTGAGTTAAAATTGATACTGGCTGGGAATTTCCAGGTCCTCTGTCTGCAACATTTAAGTTCACACTAACCTATATTCCTAGTACAGTGTGCTCCAACTATCGCATACTCGACCGTGAAACTGCAAAAGTGTGTATAGCGCAGTTTACGATGCTGCAGACTTCTTGTCACTATTTATTTTTATTTTCTAAATTGAAAAATACTCGAAATCATTCTTTGAAAATGCCTCCAATATTTACTCTCCGTGCGAGTTATATTCTGTAAAAATTTCAACAGGGCGTCCACCGTCAGTTAAAACTTGAATAACCTGGAAAATATCAGGAAATTCGACGTGATCAGGAAAATCGGTCATTGATCAAGAAACTCGAGCATTTTTAAAAAATTTGATTTGATTTGATATGTTGACTTTTTAAATCGAACGAGTGTCAATCCGTGCGAAAAATCAGGAAATCTCGTTTAAAATATCGGGAAAATCCGAAATTAAATTGTAGTAGATACCCTGCGTAAGCGACTGTGTTGGTGCGTCCTCCCTTTTGATCAAATGGATTACATTTTGCATTAAGGAACCACTATTTTTTGCCCATTTGAGAAACAACATACATGTCATTGGTTTCCCCATGTAGATATGCGCTTTTATGGAAGAGTGAGAGATAGTGGTTCCTTATTGCAAAATGTAATCCAAATAGAATAGGAGCGGAGATTTTGAAACGTCGCATACGAGAAATGTGTATTTGCAGTCTCATTTCCGATATTTTTTACCTCCTCAAGCCCCATTTTTTCCGACTCCACGAAATTCATAATTTTTCGAGAGAGTGGCAACGATTGAAGAGTGTAGATCATTGTTGCGAATGGCGCGCGCATTTCGTCTGAATCATCGCGCTTAATTTTTCGCATGAATGAATGAACTCGACGATTGTTTCCGCTGAGTTCGAGTCCCGCCGGAACATTGTTCTTTCTTGTTCACCGATGCCAAATCAATGAGGAAATAATTCAGTAGGTGTCAATCAAGAACGAGGCGGCACTGTCGGATTTTTCAATACACGAAAGTCTCCGCAAAGAGGATCCATACGGCTGTGCTAAAGAAGAACGCCGTATGAACCTTCAGACGTTGCCAAATGTCCTTCGGTAAAATATTAAACGCGGCATGCTGCCAGTGCGAAGCGAGCACCGACGCTTACAAACCTATAGGGCTACTTCACGCATTGCGCAATGCTTGAAGTATCCCTTTAGGTTTGTAGGCGTTAGTGCGCGTTTCGAGCTGGCAGCGGCAGCACGCAGCGCGCCGCGCCGCGCGCCGCAGCGTGCCATACACTTGCCCACAATTAATAGGTCAGTGTGTTAAAATTTAGGCAATTTGACATCAAATTCGAAATTAACGACTCCGAAAGACATCAGTCACGAAAATTTCGTGATCTTTCAGTCATTATTCGACTTATTTCTTCCTATTCTTGAGTTTTGGATTATAATACGCCGCGGGCGGCGACGCTCATGAAATGAAGATGTTGCATGTGTGAGAAATTTGCGATTTGACAATTAATTCTTATGTAAAAGTTCGCGAGAAACACGATGGTGCCACTGGTTTTCTCTGAAATCAACTCCCAAGCTCAAAAAAAGCTCTCAAGTTGAAGCCAAAATGGAGAGGATATCCCACCACGCTACCCTGGGAGTTCACCTCTACATCAAAACAAACTCTCCATGCAAAGGCAGGGAGCAAATACATTATTGACAGGGCTGCCACTTTATTTGGGGACTCTAAAACTGAAAACACGGCATCACTGCTAATGTATTTACTCCCTATCTTTGCATGGAGAGTTTGTCTTGATGGAGAGGTGGACCCCAGGATAGCGTGGGACATCCCCTCGATTTTGGCTTCAACTTGAGAGCTTTTTTTGAGCTTGGGAGTTAATTTCAGAGAAAACCAGTGGCACCATTGAGTTTCTCGCAAACTTTTACATAAGAATCAATAGTCAAATCGCAAATTCCTCACACATGCAACATCTCCATTTCCAAGAGAAAACACGTGACTTTTTTCTAGTTACACCCCATTCGCGTGTGCTTTACGTTGATATTTTCAGAAAGCACGGCATCACTGCTAATGTATTTACTCCCTATCTTTGCATGGAGAGTTTGTCTTGATGGAGAGGTGGACCCCAGGATAGCGTGGGACATCCCCTCCATTTTGGCCTCAACTTGAGAGCTTTTTTTGAGCTTGGGAGATAATTTCAGAGAAAACCAGTAGCACCATCGTGTTCCTCGCGAACTTCTACGTAAGAATCAACAGTCAAATCGCAAAATCCTCACACATGCAACATCTCCATTCTCTCCTGCGCTCTGTCGCTCGCGAAATCCAAGCGCGCGAATTCAAATCTCGCGGCAACGAGAGGGAGCCAATTCGAATCCCGCGGCGACGAGAGCGCGCGCGCGCCGGCAGCGCCCCCGGCGGCGGCTCGCGGAAGCGCCCGTATCGAGCGCGGCGGGCTTTCCCTCGCTGGCCGCCAGTTACCGAAAGCTCTCCTCACGGGTTGGCCGCACGCGCCGAACGGGGGGCCCGCGAAGTGTTTACCTCACATCCGCTTTTCCGCGTGTCCGCTTCCTCGAGTGAGTGTCGCCTCGCCGCGTCCCAGTGAAATGAGTAAGAAGTTAGTGTACGAGCCGCACCCGGAGCTCGCGGCCGGGGCCCACGTCAAGTCGCTGAGCGAGTACAAGGCGCTCTACGCCAAATCGATCGAGGAGCCCCGCGAGTTCTGGGGGGAGGTCGCCAAGCAGTTCCACTGGGAGACCCCCATCGACCCCGAGAAGTTCTTCTCCTACAACTTCGACCTCAAGAAGGGGCCCGTCTTCGTCAAGTGGCTCGACGGGGCCTCCACCAATATCTGCTACAACCTCCTCGACAGGAATATCAGGAACGGGCTCGGGGACAAGATCGCTTTCTACTGGTAAGGGATCTTTTTTACCTTGGGGGTGAAACATTGCTGCTGTGCTAAGGGGAAACGCTGTATGAGCCTTCAGACGTTGCCAAGTTTCTCTCTATAAAAACGGAATTTACTGGGAAATTTGCGAATATTTGATAGGAATATCAGGAACGGGCTCGGGGACAAGATAGCAAGGGTTCCTTTTTACCTGGGAAGAGGGGGGGGGGTGAAATCGTGCTGCCGTGCTAAGGGAAAACGCCGTATGATCCATCAGACGTTGCCAAGTTTCTCTCTATAAAAAAGGAATTTACTGGGAAATTTGTGAAGATTTGACAGGAATATCAGGAACGGACTCGGGGACAAGATCGCTTTCTACTGGTAAGGGATCCTTTTTACCTTGGGGGTGAAATCGTGCTAAGGGGAAATGCCGCATGAGCCTTCAGGCGTTGCCAAGTTTCTCTCTATAACAACCGAATTCACCGGGAAATTTGCGAATATTTGATAGGAATATCAGGAACGGGCTCGGGGACAGGATAGCAAGGGTTCCTCTTTACCTGGGAAGGGGGGAAGGGTTGAAATCGTGCTGCCGTGCTAAGGGAAAACATCGTATGATTCATCAGACGTTGCCAAGTTTCTCTCTATAAAAAAGGAATTTACTGGGAAATTTGTGAAGATTTGACAGGAATATCAGGAACGGACTCGGGGACAAGATCGCTTTCTACTGGTAAGGGATCCTTTTTACCTTGGGGGTGAAATCGTGCTGCCGTGCTAAGGGGAAACATCGTATGATTCATCAGACGTTGCCAAGTTTCTCTCTATAAAAAAGGAATTTACTGGGAAATTTGTGAAGATTTGACAGGAATATCAGGAACGGACTCGGGGACAAGATCGCTTTCTACTGGTAAGGGATCCTTTTTACCTTGGGGGTGAAATCGTGCTGCCGTGCTAAGGGGAAACGCCGTGTGAGCCTTCAGACGTTGCCAAGTTTCCTTCTATAAAATCCGAATTTACTGGGAAAATTTTCCCGATTTTTTTCCGAAATTTTCAGACAATTTTGTACGCAATCAGGGTGTCTACAAGTCTGGAATTTCTGGAAAGTCCGGAAATAGTACTGTTTTTTTGAGGGCAGTCCGGAAGTACTGATAAAGTGCGGAAATTCCGCAAGAAGGTCGGGAAGTTTTTCATTTTTTTTTTGTCATTTTTGTCGCAATTTGAGCGAGAAATTCGAATTTTTACAATTTTTCGAATTTGTCATTTTAAAGTACTGAAAAAATACTGAATTTTTCTGTTGAGGAGGTACTGAATTTCTTGGGACTTCACTGAAAAAGTACTGTAAAAGTACTAATTTTTGACTACCTTGTTTTAGTAGACACCATGGCAGTTCAATATAAAATATCTGAAAATGTCAAGGAAAAATGCGCATGAATGTCGTAAAAAATACATGATTTATCGAGGGAAATTTGGCAACCCTTGAATGTTCATATGACGTTCTTCCTTAGCACGGCAGAGTGGCCAGGGTGTCTGCAAGTCCGGCATTTCCGAAGATAGTACTGATTTTTCAAGGGCGGTCTGAAAGTACTGAAAAAGAGCGGAAATTCCGAAAGAAGGCCCGGAATTTTTTTCATTTTTTTGTCATTTTTGTCGCAATGTCAGCGAGAAATCCAAATTTTTGAAATTTTTCGAATTTTGTCAAATGGAGGTACTGAAAAAGTACTGAATTTTTCTGTCGAGGAGGTACTGAATTTCTTGAGAATATACTGAAAAAGTACTGAATTTTTCTGTCGAGGAGGTACTGAATTTCTTGAGAATATACTGAAAAAGTACTGTAAAAGTACTGATTTTTGGCCAGCCTGTTTTAGTTGACACATTGGAAACAGCGGCAGAGAGCACTGGCTGGAGCTGTCCTACGCCAAGGCCATGGAAGTAGGGAAAAGAGAAGGAGCGACCGCATTGATGCAACCGCTTGCCCTTGAAAAGCGAAAAAGTTCGCGGCTATTGGGTCAGCCCCCGCAATAGAGGTCACTTAGAGCTCCAGATCGAAGGCGTTTTGAAAGCCACACGGAAAAAACTACCTTGTTACCATTCCGGGGACCCTCGTCTTATTTGATCCAGCTCTGCCAACAGCGGGCTGATTGTTAAAATTGATAGGAAAAGGACAGACACAGATGACGAAAGAGATATGGAGGCATCCTATCGGTGAAATTACGATGGACAAAGGAGGTAGGCAATACTGCCGTGCTAAGGAAAAACGCCGTATGAACCTTTAGGCGTTGCCAAATTTCCTTTGATAAAACACAAATTTTCTGATAAAATTATGAATATTTTCCTTCCAATTTTTCAGATAATTTTGTTTGCAATTTCACCTAAAGCTCCTGAAAATTTCAAGGAGAAACATCCATAACTTTCCTCAAAAATAAACATTTTATCAAAGGAAATTTGGCAACTCTCAAATGTTCATACGGGGGTTTTCCTTAGCATGGCAGAATATACTAACTAACGGTAACCCACGCGTGGACCTATCTTAAATAGCATGATTGTGATAAGTTGCGATTTGATCGGTTAATGTATCGCGATTGTGTCGACGTTGATTTATCGCAATATTATCGAATATAAAATTGCGATTAACTGCAATCGCATCGCAAAAATTTGCAATAAAATCGCGATTTCATCGGAGGCGACCTATTGCAACATTATCGAACCGAAAATTGTGATAAATTGAGTTAAACTTTCGATTTTATCGAACACGATTCCATAGAGATGAAATTGCGACAAAATCGAGGATAAACGCTCAGATGTTGATGATCCTAGCGATTTAATCGCCAAACAATTGTAAAAAAATCGCGATTTAATTTCAAAATATTGCGATTTTCCCAATGAAAAATGCTACTTGGGATAGTTAGTACATCATTTTCCCCTATTGTTAGTTCATGAGAACCACCCATTTCAACCATCAGGATAGCTCCATACTTCGTATATCTTCTCGGTCTACAGTTCTGTCTATCAATTTCATCAATCAGCCCAAAGGAGTCTTATTTCGGTGACAAGGGATCTTGGAATGCGGTAACAAAGACTCTGGTTGTCCTAACAACACAGTCTAGCGTGGGTAACGAGGATATTTGGAATGGTAACAGCGTATTTTTTTTTCAATGTGCATTTTGGAATCTTCCAAATTGAACGGATTTCGAAATGAACTCTTCGGAAGCGCTCCAATGGTGTGATTTGTCGTTTAACTATCCGCCGATTAGCCGCTCTCAATAAGCAATTCACGACAATTATAATTCGTTTGGGAATTTTACGACTTGACGAATGACTCGACTTTTTGAATGGAGCTCCGTGAGCTAGTGGTCCGATTCCAAGATCAGTGGACTTGAAAAATGTAAATACATTTTTCTCAATGCGAAATTTTGATTCTCAGGTTTTGAACGAGAACACAAAGTGAATCAGAATGTTGTGGAGAGATTTTAGGGAGGGATTCTTTGGTCCAAAGTAAGATTTTTTTCAACTGTTCACTTGGGGAATTTCAGCACAAATTAAGATGAAATCCAAAACAGATCGAAGATGAAATTTTCTCTCGCGGAATTGCAGAAATTTTATCTCTGTTGACACCTATTGGATCCTCAAAAAATTCTGATCCTATTTTGTAGGTGCTTTAATGGATCATTAATTTTGGCCTCTTTTAGGCCCGATATCCATCTTTCAAAATCCTTCTTAAACTGAAGTTGCTCTTCATCAAAAAATTAATGCTACAAACTAGGATGTTTTCTTGAATTATAAGAGGGTTGTCTTTAAGGGTATGCCAGGGTGTATACAAGTCCGGAAAGAGTACTGGTTTTTAAGAGTGGCCCGGAAGTACTGAAAAAGTGCGGAAATTCAGCAAGAAGGTTCGGAATTTTATTCATTTTTTTGTCATTTTTGTCGCAATTTGAGCGAGAATCTCAAATTTTTGAAATTTTTTGAATTTCGTCAAATGGAGGTACTGAAAAAGCATTGAATTTTTCTGTTGGGGAGGTACTGGATTTCTTGGGAATGTACTGAAAAAGTACTGTAAAAGTACTGATTTTTGGCCAGCCTGTTTCAGTAGACACCCTATATGCAGATATTGAGGGAAAAGTATACTAAAAAAAGTCTTACTTTGACTCCAAAAATTGATCCCTGAAATCTTGTACTTTATCAGGAGTCACCCCGTACTTTAACTGGAATTCAAGCTCAAAAAATGTCATTTACCTCAAAACGTTTTTACGTTGGATCTTACTCGCCCTCTTCTCAACTTCCCCGTTTTTAATATGTCTAAGTGACGACCTTTGCCGTGTTTACACATCAAACGTCACACATGGGAGCTAAAATTAGAATTATCGATTCGGTTCCATTTACAAGCCCTCTGATTGGCTAGCCACGGTACGAACTCGGGTCGTCATCGTTGACCCCATGGAAACAGCATCGGGCGGTTTTCATGCTCGAAAAAAAATTCTACACCAGTCAACCATGCTAAGAAAGAACGCCGTATGAGCCTTCAGATGTTGCCATATTTCCTTAAATAGAAGACAAATATACCCGGAAAATTGTGGAAATGTTTATACAAAGTTTTCAGAAAATTTTGTTTCCGATTTAATCTAAATTATTTGAAAATTTCAAGGAAAACCGTGCAAGACTTTCCTCACCAATACATGTTTTATACGAGGAAATATGGCAACTTTCGAATGTTCATACGGCGTTTTTCCTTGGCAGGGCAGAGTAGGCACGTAGCGTCGCGCGAGGAAATCTAGGGCGCCTTCATTCTTTCGTGTATGCAGCATGAACATCCATCGAGTAGATGAAGTTGCATTCTAGTTGAAATCAGGAGTCAGCGCTTCGCGTTTGTCGTACATGCTTTATTGTACGTGGTACATTATAGAGATGATATCAATCCTCGTATCGTCTAGGGAGTTTAAAGTGAAACAAAAACCAGAAGTCGAAAAGTTCAGCTCACGGTGGGGGTAACGGATTATCCGTTATTCTCAGAGGTCCTCTTAAAAGCGTTTTATGTT